CCCCCGCGGTCGGGCTGGGGGGCGCGGGGCTGCTGGGGCTGCCCCCCACGGTCGGGCTAGGGGTCCCAGCCCCCCACCGCGGCTGCAGTAATAGCAGGAGCGGGAGCAGCAGCCGCCTCGGGCCCATAGCATCAACTCGTTGCCAGGGAACCGATACATTAACGTCTGACGTCATGTCGTAAGCGATCTGGTCTCGCGATGAATCTTAGCGCAGGCGCGTGTCGAAGCCACCCCTCCCTCCCCCCCCCCAGTGCTCATGCGTACATCAGTCTCCCCCTCGGCCTCCCCCAAGCAGCGCCCCGGTTGGTAGGGAGTTGCCGACGCCTCGTGGGGCCTGGGCCTGGGCGCGAGCGTGGGGGTTCGGGCGGGACCCAGGGCGATAGAGCAGTGGTCTCCAAACTTTTCTGATCTGAACCCTGCCCGAACTGCTGAAGCAAAAAAAAGCTGCTCGGACTCCCGCCTGACACAGCAAATAATAATTACAAAAAAAGCGCTCCTCTTGCTGCGCACCCCCAAGGATCCTCTTGCCGCGCACCCCCAAGGATCCTCTTGCCGCGCACCCCCAAGGATCCGCGCACCCCCAAGGATCCGCGCACCCCCAAGGATCCTCTTGCCGCGCACCCCCAAGGATCCGCGCACCCCACTTTGGAGACCACCGCGATAGGGGAGCTAGCCCCATTCCCACAGCGGGCAAGGCATCACCCACAGAGCTCGACCCTCGTGGGCTGACCCGGCTCGGGGCGCCCCCTGCCGAGTCCCCACCCAGTCCGGGGTGTGTGAGCAGCGCCCGGCTCCACAGTGCGGTGCTCCGAGCCCTGAGCCGGCTGTGCCATTGCCCTGCGGCTTCGTCCCCAGTAAAGCCGGTCCGGTCTCCCCAGTGCTTCCCTCCTGCAGCCGGGGTTGTGCAGTCTCCCGTTCCGGGAAGTGTGTGTGTGTCATGATAATACCAGTGGTGCGATGCACCAGTGCCGAAGACACAGTCATAAGAACGGTCATGCAGGGTCAGAGCAATGGTCCATCTAGCCCAGTAGTACCCTGTTTCTGATAGTGGCCAGTGCCGGAGGCTTCAGAGCAAATGAACAGAACAGGGCAGTCATCGAGTGAGCCGTCCCCTCTCATCCAGTCCCAACATCTAGCAATGAGGGGCTTAGAGACACCTGGAACATGGGGTTGCGTCCCTGCCAACTGAAGGACCTGTCTATCGTCCATGAATTTATCTCGTTCTTTTTTTAATCCTGTTATATGTTTGGTCTTCACAACATTCCCCTGGCAACGAGATCCACAGGTTGGTTGACTGTGCGTTGTGTGAAGAAGTACTTCCTTATGTTTGTTTTAAACTTGCTGCCTATTAATTTCATTGGGTGACGCTGGTTCATGTGTTATGTGAAGGGGTAAATAACACTTCCTTAGTAACTTTCTCCACACCAGTCATGATTTTATAGACCTCGATCATAAGAACGGCCATACTGGGTCAAACCAAAGGTCCATCTAGCCCAGAATATTGTCTTCCAACAGTGGCCAATGCCAGGTGCCCCAGAGGGAATGAACAGAACAGGTAATCATAAAGTGATCCATCCCCTGTTGCCCATTCCCAGCTTCTGGCAGACAGGCTAGGGACACCATTCCTGCCCATTCTGGCTAATTGCCATTGATGGACCTATCTTCTATTAATGTATCTTGTTCTTTTTCATAGAATCATAGAATATCAGGGTTGAAGGGACCTCAGGAGGTCATCTAGTCCAACCCCCTGCTCAAAGCAGGACCAATCCCCAACTAAATCATCCCAGCCAGAGTTTTGTCAAGCCTGACCCTAAAAACCTCTAAGGAAGGAGATTCCACCACCTACCTAGGTAACCCATTCCAGTGCTTCACCACCCTCCTAGTGAAAAAGGTTTTCCTAATATCCAACCTAAACCTCCCCCACTGCAACTTGAGACCATTACTCCTTGTTCTGTCATCTGCTACCACTGAGAACAGTCTAGATCCTTCCTCTTTGGAACCCCCTTTCGAGTAGTTGAAAGAAGCTATCAAATCCCCCCTCATTCTTCTCTTCTGCAGACTAAACAATTCCAGTTCCCTCAGCCTCTCCTCATAAGTCATGTGCTCCAGCCCCCTAATCATTTTTGTTGCCCTCCGCTGGACTCTTTCCAATTTTTCCACATCCTTCATATAGTGTGGGGCCCAAAACTGGACACCGCACTCCAGATGAAGCCTCACCAATGCCAAATAGACGGGAATGATCATGTCCCTCGATCTGCTGGCAATGCCCCTACTTATACAGCCCAAAATTCCGTTATCCTTCTTGGCAACAAGGGCACACTGTTGACTCATATCCAGCTTCTCGTCCACTGTAACCCATTGATCACTACCCATTGAGCCCGATGATCTGGCCAGCTTTCTATCCACCTTATAGTCCATCCAGCCCATACTTCTTTAACTTGCTGGCAAGAATACTGTGGGAGACCGTATCAAAAGCTTTGCTAAAGTCAAGGAATAACACATCCACTGCTTTCCCCTCATCCACAGAGCCAGTTATCTCGTCATAGAAGGCAATTAGGTTAGTCAGGCATGACTTGCCCTTGGTGAATCCATGCTGACTGTTCCTGATCACTTTCCTCTCTTCTAAGTGCTTTAGAATTGATTCCTTGAGGACCTGCTCCATGATTTTTCCAGGGACTGAGGTGAGGCTGACTGGCCTGTAATTCCCCGGATCATCCTCCTTCCCTTTTTTAAAGATGGGCACTACATTAGCCTTTTTCCAGTCATCCGGGACCTTCCCCGATCGCCATGAGTTTTCAAAGATAATGGCCAATGGCTCTGCAATCACATTCGCCAACTCCTTTAACTCCCTCGGATGCAGCACATCGGGCCCCATAAACTTGTGCTCATCCAGCTTTCCTAAATAGTCCTGAACCACTTCTTTCTCCACAGAGGGCTGGTCGTCTCCTCTCCATGCTGTGCTGCTCAGTGCAGTAGTCTGGGAGCTGACCTTGTTCGTGAAGACAGAGGCAAAAAAAGCATTGAGTACATTAGCTTTTTCCACATCCTCTGTCACTAGGTTGCCTCCCTCATTCAGTAAGGGGCCTACACTTTCCTCTTGTTGCTAACATACCTGAATAAACCCTTCATGTTACTCTTAACATCTCTTGCTAGCTGCAACTCCAAGTGTGATTTGGCCTTCCTGATTTCACTCCTGCATGCGTAAGCAATATTTTTATACTACTCCCTGGTCATTTGTCCAAGCTTCCACTTCTTTTGTGTTGAAGATCAGCAAGGATTTCACTGTTAAGCCAAGCTGGTCGCCTGCCATATTTACTATTCTTTCTACACATCGGGATGGTTTGTTCCTGCAACCTCAATAAGCTTTCTTTAAAATACAAGCAGCTCTCCTGGACTCCTTTCCCCCTCATGTTATTCTCCCAGGGGATCCTGCCCATCAGTTCCCTGAGGGAGTCAAAGTCTGCTTTTCTGAAGTCCAGGGTCCATATTCTGCTGCTTTCCATTCTTCCTTGTGTCAGGATCCTGAACTCGACCATCTCATAGTCACTGCCTACCAGGTTCCCATCCACTTTTGCTTCCCCTACTAATTTTCCCCTGTTTGTGAGCAGCAGGTCAAGAAGAGCTCTGCCAGTAGTTGGTTCCTCCAGCACTTGCACCAGGAAATTGTCCCCTACATTTTCCAAAAATTTCCAGGATTGTCTGTGCACTGCTGTATTGCTCTCCCAGCAGATATCAGGGTGATTGAAGTCTCCCATGAGAACCAGGTCCTGTGATCTAGTAACTCCTGTTGCCAGAAGAAAGCCTCATCCACCTCATCCCTCTGGTCTGGTGGTCTATAGCAGACTCCCACCACGACATCACCCTTGTTGCTCACACTTCTAAACTTAATCCAGAGACTCTCAGGTTTTTCTGCAGTTTCATACCGGAGCTCTGAGCAGTCATACTGCTCTTACATACAATGCACCTCCCGCTGCCTGTCCTTCCTGAACAGTTTATATCCATCCATGACAGTACTCCAGGCATGTGAGTTATCCCACCAAGTCTCTGTTATTCCAATCACATCATAATTCCTTGACTGTGCTAGGACTTCCAGTTCTCCCTGCTTGTTTCCCAGGCTTTGAACCCTGTTATAGTCTTGGCCTTCCCAACATTCTCTGGCAAAGAGTTCCACAGGTTGACTGTGCGTTGTGTGAAGAAATACTTCCTTTTGTTTGTTTTAAAACTGCTGCCTATTAATTTGAATTGGTGGCCCCTATTTCTTGTGTTACGAGAGGGTAAATAACACTTCCTTATTTACTTTCTCCACACCAGTTGTGATTTTATAGACTTCTATCATATCCCCCCTTAGTCATCTCTTTTCCAAGCTGAAAAGTCCCAGTTTTATTAATCTCTCCTCATACGGCAGCCATTCCATACCCCTAATCATTTTTGTTGCCCTTTTCTGAACTTTTTCCAATTCCAATGTATCTTTTTTGAGATGTGGTGACCACATCTGCACGCAGTAGTCAAGATGTGGGCGAACCATGGATTTATATAGAGGCAATATGATATTTTCTGTCTTATTACCTATCCTTTTCTTAATGCTTACCAACATTCTGTTTCCTTTTTTGACTGCCGTTGCACATTGAGTGGATGTTTTCAGAGAACTATCCACAATGACTCCAAGATCCCTTTCTTGAGTGGTAACAGCTAATTTAGACCCCATCACTTTATATGTATAGTTGGGATTATGTTTTCCAATGTGCATTACTTTGCATTTATCAACATTGAATTTCATCTGCCATTTTGTTGCCCAGTCACCCAGTTTTGAGAGATCCTGTTATAGCTCTTCGCAGTCTGCCTGGGACTTGACTATCTTGACTAGTTTTGTATCATCTGTATCATCATTTGTATCATCCCCCTTAGTCATCATTTTTCTAAAGTGAGCAATCCCAATCTTTTTAATCTCTCACATGGAAATTGTTCTATACCCCAATCAATTGTGTTGCCTGTCTTTGTACTTTTTCGAATTCTAAGATAGCTTTTTTGGGGGAAACCAGAACGGCATGCAGTATTCAAGGTGTGGGCATACCATGCATTTACATAGTGGCATTATAATAGTTTCTGTCTTATCAACAATTCCTTTCCTAATGGTCCCTAACATTGTTAGCTTTTTTGACTGCTGTTGCACACTGA